GGTCGGGTCGGGTCGGGCTGGCGGGCCCTAGCTGGTCGGGCGGGATCGGGCGGGCGGACCCTCGCGGGCCGGCGCGGGGCGGGCGGACAGGCGCGCGGGCGAGCCCGCAAAATGCGATGCATGATCGAGCAGACAGGGGGAACTTTAACGGGTCGGGTCGGGTCGGGCGCGTGGGCCCTTACGGGCCGCGGCGGGTCCGGCGGGCGGACCGGTGAGGGCGGATCGCGTCGGGCGGGCGGGCCATTAAAAGCGCCGCGCGTGATGGAATAGACGCGCGAGAACATTGAGAGGGTCGGTCCTGGTCGGGCGGGCGGAGCTTGACGGGTCGGGGCGGGTCGGGCGGGCGGACCTTAGCGGGCTGGTCGGGTCGGGCGGGCGGGTCGTTGAAGTATGGTGCATGATCGCGCGGGCGCGCGGGAGCCCTGGCGGGTCGGGCCGGGCGGGCGGACCTGAACGAGTCGGGCTGGATCGGGCGGGCGGACCCTCGCGGATCGGGGCGGGTCGGGCGGGCGGGCCTTAACTGGCGAGGTCGTGCCGGGTGGGCGAGTCATTGAAGTGCGATGCGTGATCGAGTAGACGCGCGAAATCCTCGACGGGCCGGGTCGGGTCGGGCGCGCGGGCCCTAACGGGTCGGGGCGGGTCGGGCGGGCGGAGCCTAGCGGGCGGATCGGGTCGGGCGGGCGGGTCATTAAAGTCTGATGCGTGATCGAGTAGACACGCGGGAACCTTGGCGGGTCGGGCATGGCCGGGGGAGCGGACCCCAACGGGTCCGGCGGGCGGATCCTAACGGGCGGGTCGGGCCGGGCGGGCGGGCCCTGACGGGCGGGCCAGGTCGGGCGGGCGGGCCGTTCAAGCGGGGCGCGTGCCGAGGTGCCGCGCGCGGCTTTCCGCGCGCGCCATGACCTGCCAGTCCCATTGGAATGCAACAAGTGGAAAAAGACTTTCCAGGCGAGGTCGCTGAGTGCAAGGTGTTGCGTTGTGGAGGCGGATGCCGCGGAGTGCTGGGCGTTTCGGCGAACGTGGAAGCGCGGCGGGCAGGCGGCCGGCGTTTTGATCGTTGGGTGATGCGTTGGAGGCGGATGTTGGTGAGTGGCGCTCCATGCGGATACTGGGCGGGCTGATGGCGGGCGGGCGGGCGGAGGCGAAGTTCGTTATCTAATTCAAGCAGTGGCGAAGCGTCCCGGCACGCCTATAGCCCCACCAAACAATGTTCTAAGAACTTGTTGTGGTTCCCACGAAATGTTCTTAGAACATTTCTGGCTAGGACTGTCTTGTTTTATAACATCGAATATATGTTCTAAGAACATTGTTATTGTTCTTAGGACATTTTGGGGTTCGAAGAACACGTCGTGGTATGACTATAGGAATGCCGGGACGGTCGGTCCCTGCTCAACTAATGGGTTTTGTTTCGGAGACGAATGCGGTTGCGCACGGGGCTTTGCGTTGAACTCGGAAGCGTGGCGGGCGGGCCCCAACCAATAACGCTAATCCCCGAGCCCTGAGGCCATCATCTAAGCCAATGACCCAAGACCTCATACTTCACCCTGGGACCCTAACCCTAGGACCTGAACCCCCAGAGCAAGATAACCCGAATACCCCAACCCTAAGGCCCGAAGTCTGATGCGCTAGCCCGGAACACCAACCTTCAGGCCCTCTTTCCAAGGCCCCAGCTCCACAACCCTGACCGTAAGACTCCAACCCTAACCCCACGGCCCCAACCTTAAGATCCTCACCCTAGTAACTTAACCTCGTGGCCATGACTCTACGACCCTGACCTTGGGACGATTGGCCTCACGTGAAGCCCGTGCCCCTAAGGCCCTCGCCCGATGGCCTCAACCCTAAGGGCCGAATCCTGAGCCCGAATCATAATACCGCAGCTTGAACACCTTAACCCTAAGAGCCTGGCCCTGAGGCCCTAACCTTAAGACTCGAGCCTTCAGAGTCTAACCTCAATCTCATTGTCCCAAGACCTCAGCCCGTTGTGTCTGTAAGCTTACGGCCTTGACGCGAGCGCCCGATCCCTGACCCTAAGGTCCTAACCCTAACTGTCAGACCCTCAGCTGGGAAGCATGGCCCTAGTACCTTAACCCTCAGGCCCTAAACCTAAGCACCCGAACCCGGAGGCCCGAAACCTAATGCCATAACCTTGAACCCTAACCTGAATCACCGAAGTCTAACCCTAAGTTTCTAGCCGCAAGACCCTGGCCCGACTGCCCTAACGATAATAGCTGGGCCCCAAAGCCCCAACCCAAGGCCCTCGCGCCAACGCACAAGCCCTATCCACATGGCCCTGACCCTGGCATCGCAACCCCCAAGACCCTAGCCCGAAGACCCTATCATAACACGCGAACCCACAGGCCCTAATCTCAGGACCCTAAAGCCACGGACCCGGATCCCCCCTATTCCCGAGGCCCTAACCCTGAAGCCCTGACCCTAATGCGCCAACCCTGACGCCCTAGCCCAAAACCCCAGAACCCTGGGCCGTCACCCCAAAACGCAT